CAGTTGGATTGAATAAGCCCTCTTCTATGTCTGTCTAGGGATGGCAGGGGATGTGAATGGATCGGGTTTGAAATTTCGAACCCAACCTTAATGCTATTTCTAGAAATGATTTAATGTTTTAAGGTAAACAGGTTGGTTTTCACACATTTGACCCTAACCCAAACTCGACCCATACCCCAATTAAACCTGATCTGATCTTAGGGTCGGGTCAGTGCGGTTTACTACTTAACCTGACCTCAGCCGCACATCCCTATATCTGTCTATTGGAAAAGTTTTCGCCTCGAGTCCTTGACTACTAGTGGATGCAATGCCTATTATGTACACTATCATCCTGGATCCCTTCTTATGGTCATGCATATACAGTTGTATATACCGAATTTATTGGAAATTTCCTTTTGCGATAGATATAGAGATAAGAAGATTAATATCCTCTACTAGAGGTGTAAATCGGGCCGCTCAGCCCGCCCTGACCCAACACAAAATTGGACCGACACAGCCCAGCACAGCATGAAGGCCCATGGGCCGTGCTAGGCCCGATACAAAGGTTCGTGCCGTGTTGGGCCGGGGGTTTGAGGTCCATAGGCCGGCACAACATGACAATTATTCGTGTTGTGCCGCCCGCGGTCTACGTGCCGTCACGGCCTATGGGGCCCGTAATGGGCCGAGCACGGCCCACCCGGAATATAGCCGTTGGGCTCCCCCGTTTCAGCTTCCTGGGAAGTCCTCATGTTGCACCCCCAATTAAAAAACAGAAATACCCCNCCAATAGTTATAAATTGCCATATTAGGAGGGTATTTGCGTATTTTGCTTATGGGGGGTTAAAAAAATGACATAAATGCCCCCCAATAGCTATATAACAACTAGTTTAGGGGGACATTTAGGGTAAAGTTATAAATAACTTTACAATGACCAAAATACCCCTCCTAACAACTAAATAATAAGTAGTTTTTTGGGCAATTGAATTATGTTCAATTCCTATAAATAGCCCTATCCTCCACCATTCTCATCACACCAATTCAACAATTCTCTCTCTCTCTCTCTCATACTCATACATTCTCAATTCTCTACAATTTGAGTAACTCTGATTAGTTGATTCTTTGATTGTGCATTCTCCAATTCTCAATAAATATTTTCTATTAGTTTTGATAATGCCAACAATAATGATTCTGCAATAAATATTTTAAAATCTCAATTAAGACCATGCTTAAATGGTAAATTATTTCATATAGATGTGCATGTCACATCTTAAATTTATGCATTCAAAATCCTTGAATATTATTTTCTACTCATATTTCAAAAATTAGAAATTGTAGTGTATATATATATATATAAGTTCAAGGGCAAGAAAATAAGAATTTAAATATTTATGTCAAAATTATGGTTTAAAATATAAACATTTTATATTAGATGTAAAGCACAAGTGGAGTTCTATCTATGCTATGTTAGAAAGTTGTATTTCTCATAAACAAATTCTTATTGATTTTTATAATTCAAAAATGCCTAATGATATGATATTTGAGGAAGACTGGGAAATGACAGTCTGTATAAGAGATTTTTTAAATCATTTTTATGATACAACTAATGAATTATCTGGAATTTATTATCCAACTAGTTGTAATTTACCTTATCAATTAATGGTAATTAATGATTGTTGAAATAATGGAAAATAAATTTAAAAAATATTGGGAAAACATTTCTCCCCTTTATTGTTTAGCTACAATATTAGACCCTAGGATTAGGAAAGATGGTTTATATATTTTACTTAATCATTTGTGAAAATATGAATATTGATATAGTAAATAAAAAAGAAGAAATTAATAATTTATTATTTAAAATGTACAGTTTATATGAATCTGGAGTTATGGGAAATATTCCTACAACTTGTACATCTTCTACTTCTGACCTTGAGCCCAGTAGTAGAAGAGAAAAACTTTTTTATTTAATAAGTATAAGGCAGAAATCTACTACTTCTACAACAAGTTCATTTACTGAACTTAATTTTTATTTACAAGCAATTTTTTCTAATTTAGGTGAATAATCAAATAATTTTGATATTTTAACTTGGTGGAGTGAACATTCAAAAAATTATCCAGTTCTCGCCGCCATGGCATGTGATCTACTAACCCCACCAGTATTTACAGTCCATCGGAGTCTTGTTTTAGTGCAAGATAACAAAAGAAATTGCATAAATGATGAAAGCATAGAGATTTGCATCTGCTTCAAGGATTGGTAAGATGCAGAAGATAGATTACAAGACAAAGGAGGGCATGATACTACACCAGATATTTCACCTGAAGCAAAAGATGAAAGCCATGAATTGATTCATGAATTTGACTACTTGTATAGATTTTTTTTAAATTATTGTAAATTTTTTTAATTTTATTTAATTTATTTGATTTTTTTTTAATTTTTTAACAATGCTATTTTGTATTTTCAATTTGTAACTATATTATATTTTTTATATTTCATTAATTTATTCCATTTTCATATTTCATTCATTCAAGTATCCAATGATCCAATCATTATATTTGTAATTTGTACCATTCAAAATTAAATGAAATAAATCATTGTATTTATGTGGAGTGAACATTCATCAAAGTATCCAATGATACAATGTCCTAGGTCTACCACTTTTCATTTTTGTGTTCCAGCCAAATCCGGATCACCTACCAAGAAAATTTGTTCCAACACCCTATCAACAACATCTGACACCTCATATCTTATACATGGCAGGTCTCATTTTTACGGTGGGCCCCAGTTTTATAGCAAGTCGTATGGTGTCAGACCAAGTTGGTAAGGTGTTGGAGCTTGTTTTATTGGCAGGTGATCACAACTCATCCCAGGTGGCGCATGTTTTCTTAATTATTGGTTATGGAGCATTTGAGGATGCAGAGGTCCAACCCAATTTACCAAATAGTCGATGTAAAATAGATTGGACTTAATCTCTAAGGCTGCAAATACGTTGAAATTAACCCAATCATTTGCAAGAATTTGAATTTAGGCTACGTTTGGAAATGATGCAAATAAGTGTGAATGCAAATATGTAGTGTAAAACGGTTCATATAAATTGTAAAGTTGGGTTAATTTTGCATTGACAAATTTATCTTCTTACCAAACAGGCTTTTAGTTGTAATGGATACAAACACGAATTTCACTAAAGCATATGCCTTTTTTATCAAAAGCCCAATTGAATACAAATTTACTTCTTTTTTATTGATGTATTTTTACATCTTATTATCAATGTAAAATTGCATCAGAAAATGTGTTTTCTGTAATTTGTCAATACATAAATGAAATGTTGCCAAACACAGGCAAAAATGAACCAGAATGCAAATTTACCCTGAACCGAGATTTACACTCCATTTGCATCATTTTCAAACGCAGCCTTATGGTTCTTCATATTAAGTGGAATAAACTGATATGTTACAAGTTGAGAGTATAGAAGAAAGAGATAGGGATAGAGATGGGTTAAAATAATTAGAAATGATTTAGGGGTCTACCATTTAAAAATGAATATGACATTGAATAGAGTGGAATGGTGGAAAAGGATTTATGTAACCGACCCATAAATCCTTTGAGATTCGGATAAGTACATGTTTCAAAAATTCATCATAAATGAGATAAATGTATAAGATAGATATGGTGGTAGACCTAGGACATTGTCTTGAGACAATAAATCGTGTCCATCGCAGTACATTATTTTGATTCAGAGCCCATTACAATACAATTGGGATATTCATTGAGACATATGATTTATCTTTTTTACACAACCTCATTTAGACACGTTGGATAGTCAAGGTGGCTTAAGTGAACTCTCTCTCTCTCTCCTTTTTCGCTTCAAACTTGCCTCTGAAGGTTAATTTAATCATTAAAGATAACTAAAAAGTCAGATGAGAAGCTTGAGTTAGTGGGCACTAATGGTGACCTAACATAAGGTAAGTTTTAGATAATAAAAATATCTGACAGAGGGCCTGTGGGGGTTTTGAAAAGTCAGGGTATGTCTAAGAAAATGTGAAAAGGTGACGGGGAACTTAGATAATAACCCCAAAAAGGAAAATTCAAGTTTTTGTATAATGCTGATTAAGAGCCCATCTGGGAGGGTTTCTGCATTGACTCAGCCACTTTGAAGAAATTACTTGAGATAGCTTCACCCGAAAGCCAATTTTGCAGTTCATAAAAGCCTATTTTGACTTTCTGGAATTCTACAAAATACCATGATGTTCCTGGTTTCTAAGCTCATGTAATGCTAGAAGTTAATGCATGAAAGTCTTCTCAAATGGGCACTACGTATCCACCACTGAAGTAATCGGGACTTCGGGAGTGAAGATCTAGTGTAACCTGTGAACACAAGTGTGTGAAACGAGCTCCGTAACCTATCAACAGTGAACACGCCAATGTCCTTAGAATAACAGTTGTGTCCATTCAAGAAGCAAAATAATCTTCATTTGTTATATAACCTGTACACACCAGTTTTTGCAGTGGACCCCATTTGTCCTCATCTAAGGAGTGAATTTTTTTTTTTTTTTTTTTTGGTTTGGCCTGTGGAGATGGATGAGTTGGTGGAAGACTGAAAGTAGGGATGCTTGAATAGGCCCACTGGCATTTACTAGGTGGAGAACCTGGATCAGGATCTGCCCATCATCCTTTAGTGAGATTGTTAGAGCGTATAAAAATAGACCGCATAATTGGACCGAATCCCGCCTGCACCTGGGTTGCGGGGGTTTACGGGTTTGGGGATGGGCTACCAAGAAAGAAAAAATTGTGTTCGTCTGGTTCTTATATGCTGGAAGGTGCATACCCATTAGAGATCCAACAGGCAACAGGGTATCCTGCCTTAGGTAAATATAGTAGAACCTGCCCTTCCACGGATTCAAACCCATGCCCCCTCAAAGGGACATCCCTCTCAATCAAATGGCCATTTGCCCTGCAAATATGCAGGGTTAAAATAAGCAAGAAATATCATAATTGTAAGATAAATAAATTCCAATATACACTCAAATCCAGATTATACATTTCTCTTTCAAAAATCTTATGAGAAGAAATAAGGTTAGAATATGGGTAAATAATGAGAAAATCAGAGCAGAAAAAGCCTCTTGACATTATATGTTACATTCAATATAGCCAAGGAGAAATTACTCGTGACAAAAGGCATCACCCTGACTTTCTTCGGAGTTACACAATCAGCTTGGAAAACCACAATCCGTTCAAGATTTTCAAGGTTCTCCTATACCCACCATGAAATAGGACCCAAACCATCATAATCAAGTGATCCCTGCCAACGAATTGAAGATTAATGATTTAAAACACCATTTTTATAGCAATGTAGTCTTGACTCTTGTGCCAAACCACCATTGAAGAAGAAAAATAATTTCCATTCATCTATTATACACAGCATAGTGTAATTTTGTAAAATCCTAAATTCCTGCTATATATACAAATTCATAGGTCTTTAAACCAGATAATCTAAATGACCTGGAATCCAAATGGCAACCTAGGGCCCCAAGGATTTTTGTACTCAGGTCCAATTGGTGGAGTAATTAGGGATGAGAAAGGAATTATACTCTCATTGTACTCAGGTCCAATTGGACAAGGTGGTATACTCAGATCAGAATTTTTGGCAGCAGTTTGTGGGGTGGAGAAAGCAAAAGAATTGGGTATTGAAAGACTGATTATTGAAAGGCACTCGAGAACAATTGTGAGTTGGCTGAAAAGGGGAGAAGGAATAACTTGGAATCTAAGGAATGATTATAAAAGGTTCAAATAGCTATGTAAAGAAATGATGATTCAAGTCAATTGGGTTAGAAGATCTTCAAACCATTTGGCAGATGGTCTAGCTAAGCAAGGGGTTCAGAGACAGCCTATGTATTGGGCTCATTTGTAATTTTGTTTTGTTCTTAACTCAGGAAATCAATTTCATTAGAATTAGAAAAACAGTACAACCAGAAGTTGTGAAGGAAACAAAGAGGACACCAGATTTCCAAACCCCCAAAAATTACATATAGGCCCAAAACATTGACTATCTTTGTACCCCTTGTTTAGCCAAACTGTGGGGCTCATTTGTAATTTTCCGGGTTAAATTTGTCTTCTTGGGTCTGTTATATCTTTTCAAAACTTCTTGTTGTACCTCTTTTATCTAATTTTAATGAAATCTTTTCTGTGTTACTAATGAAAAAAAAAAAAACCCTAGGGCCCCAAGGACTCCTCTCTTCCATTCCATACTCTAAAATCATGTTATAAATCTCAGCCAGAGAAACTAGCCATGTTCTCCAAATAACCCTTTTTATGGGCATTTGTTGAACTAAAAATGAAGGGTCCTCTATATGATGTACAGTCTGGATTAGCCACAGCATTTTTCCTTAAAAAAATAAATAAGAAACTTTATTTCATAAGAAATAGAAGGTTACAAGGGTGGGGATAAGAAATCACCCGAGATAGAAAACAGAAAAGAGAATAGACCCACATCACTAAACCATCCCCCCTCCTATTGAACCTTGGAATGTCCAATAGAGGAGCAAACCAACCCTATGAAAAACAGAACTTGTTTCATCCCAGATATTCAACTCTCCAAACCCAAATAACATTCTACCCTTTGACCCAAAATCGACAAACCCTACCACAAAATACCCTTAATCCCATAAAACCACAAGACCAAAAATACCCAGTTACTTTTCTTGATTATCTTCTTTGATTTCTTCACCTCTTACCAGGACCCATCCCGAATAAACCCCCTTCAACCTGGCAAAAACTTTTGACACCTGGACTGTTCTCTGATTCTTTTGACTTCTGAATCTTCCAACTGTGTTAGGTATCCTGATGCTGGAGAGTCAAAATTGGGATTTTATGAAATTTTATGTATTTCTGTGTTTTTGGACAGAGGGGTATTTTTGTTATTTTTACAATTTTATGTAGGGAACAATGATAGGGTTTAATTTGTCCAGTTATAGTTTGTTTATGTTTAAAATTCCAAAGTCATTGCATACGTAGGATTATAGTTATCGAGTCTTCTTTGAATTGAAATAGGATATGACAGCTTAGTTTGAGTCCTACTAGGATTATCAAGTCTAAAAGTTTGACTCCTAAAAGACTATTATGAGTTTAACAGTTTGACTCCTAGGGTTATTACGAGTTTAGAGTCTATAAATATGTATGGGCATTTTGCACAAAGGCAATGAATTATATTGAGCTTTCTTCAGCTTATGCTATCTATGGTGAGTGATTCCCATGCCCTAGAGTGATTCTAGGCACCCTGTGAGTGATTCCAGGTATTTTCTCTCTTCTTTCTCTCCCTATTTTCTCTCTTATTCCTTCAAGAACCCATTACAGCCATCAACGGCCATAAAATTCTGATCCAAGAAGACCATTCACATTCTCTAAGGACAAGAACTGAGCTGGTCCTACATCATATCCTCTCCTCGACTCCTCCCCAGGCAAATCCAACTCTTTAGCATTTATCCTTTACAATTCCAAGATCACATTTTTCTCAAAAATATACTCTGCTTTCACATCACTGTCCTTGCAACCACCTGCACCCTTCTCTTGAACATCAGTATTCTTTGCAAAAGAAACTTCCGCATCAGACTTCATAATGTTGTCCTCTTTACCTGTCACCATCTGGTGAGATTTTATTCCAGTTTTCTAAAGATTTTCTAGCAAAATCCTCTCCTCCAATAAAGTACAGACCCTAAATTTTACTTGCCTTCACTTCTGTGCTCACCACTGTCTTCAGATCAATGGACCTCCCAATTTCATGTGTTTCATCCATGATAATATCTTCCTTATCAATCTCACTAGCGATATCATCCTCATTTTGAATCACCCCATCTGCACCTTTGTTTTCGCTTTCTTCCTCTCCTGTGATTGGTCTTGTTCTATACTTCCTTTTCCTTCCATAAACCTTAGCCCCATGATCCTTTCATTCTTCTTTCTATACACAACCCTTCCCTCCTCCGTCAACCCCTCCTTTCTCCAATTCTTCCTGACAATCCCATCCCTTCCCCGCATCGGCCTTCTCAGAAAAATTGTCTGTAGTAACAACAAGGCCTCTTTCAACATTCTCAATCTTATCTCCTAACCCTCTTTCCGTCTCCTTCCTATGTGTTTTCCTTATTAATCCCTCCTCTTTCCCATAAATTTCAACTGCTCTCTCACTCGATCTTTCCCCCACCACTAGGATTTCCACCCCTTCTCCCTTCTCCTCAAGATTCCCCCTTTCTACCACTTCTTTAGACCCTCCTTGATTAGCCACAGGATTTCTCTACATGGCAGAAATTTGTGGAGTTGTTTAGGGACCTGCCTACTTGATCCGGTCAGCAAGACCTTCTTCCTCACACGCAGATACAAAAATAAAACAAATTTATTTTGATAGGTTTTAAATAACAATATTTAGTGTTTGATTTGCCTAGATGGATGTTATAAAACAAAATTAAATGGGATGGGGAAAGTTGCCCTCAAGAAATATCAGACACGACTAATTGCTTCATCCACCTTGCTGTGTGCATGCATACAATTACCAACTATTTACTTTCTGTTGCTCCCTTATTAGATTTTAAATGGAAATGTGGCTGGAGGTAGTAAACTTAATTGTAGTAAAAGAAGTGATAGATTTATACCATGCTGCTTAATTGACACACACATTATACATGCACTGTCATAAATGAAAGCATACTAAGCTAATTGAGATTGCAATTTCACAGGAAATTAAAGCATCTTAAATAGAACCAATATAATACAGTATGATGTCATGTATTAAAGATAATTACTCAAGGGTTTTTTTTTTCTTTTGAGTACAAAGTAGACACTAACAAAAACAGAACAGAAATATAAAGATAAGTAACAATTGTGGGCTATGGGCCATTCGGCCCATCTTCTCTACACTCCCCCTCAAGCTGAGCATACATGTCAATCATGCCCAGCTTGCCTGTATCATGTTGTAGCTTGACATACTTTGGAGACTCCCTTGGTAAGAATGCCAGCTAACTGTTCTTCAGATGGGATGAAAGATAGGCAAACTTTTCCAGAAGCCACTCTTTCTCTAATGAAATGTCTGTTAACTTCAATGTGTTTAGTTCTATCGTGTTGCACAGGATTGTGGTGGGCAATGTTAATGGCGGCCCGATTATCACAATACAGCATCAATGGTCTATCATACTCAACACCTAATTCCTCCATTAGGGATCAAAGCCAAAGCAACTCAGAAACTCCATGAGCCATAGCTCTATATTCTGCCTCAGCTGAAAAATCTAGCAACCATAGATTGTTTCTTGTTTCTCCAAGAAATAGTATTACCTACCACCATACTACAGTATCCCGAAGTTGACCTCCTATCATCAATGTTGCCTGCCCAGCCAACATCTGTATAGGCCTCCAGTTTCATATGACCATGTTTAGCAAAAAGAATACCCGTCCTTGGAGTACTCTTCAAGTAACATAAAATCCTCTTTGCTGCTACCATATGTGTATCTCTGGGAGCATGCATGAACTGGCTATGGCTAATGCAGCTAACAGCATATGCAATGTCAGGGCGAGACATACAACGATATAGCAGTTTCCCTAGTAACCTTTGAAACACTCCCTTATCCTTCAACAGTTCTCCATCAGAGGCAAAAAGCTTGTGACTCGTATCAATAGGGGTAGCCACTGGTCTTGCACCCATTTTTCATGTTTCAGTAAGCAAGTCTAGCGCATACTTGCGTTGAGAAACAAAGGTTTCATCTTTAGACCGAGCCACTTCAATACCTAGGAAATACCTCAATTCCCCTAGGTCTTTGATCTCAAACTCTGTATGAAGTAAGGATTTAAGATTATCAATCCCTGTCACATCAATGCCAGTCACTACAATGTCATCCACATAGAATATAAGATATACCACCAATGAACCTCTCTTCACAAAGAAGGTATGGTTAGATCGAGTCTGTGTAACCAAAGTTAACAAGAGCAGCTCTAAACCTTTCAAACCAGGCTCTAGGTGACTGTTTGAGCCCATAGAAAGACTTCTTCAGCTTGCACAACTTATCCTCCATGTTTGTGCCATACATCCTTGGTGGAAGGGACATATAAACCTCTTCATGTAATTCTCCATTCAAGAAGGCATTTTTCACATCTAGCTGATAAAGGGGCCAATCTGAATGAGCTACCAAAGATAGTAGGACTCTCACAGAGGTCATCTTTGCAACAAGGGCAAAAGTCTCCAAGTAGTCAATCCCATAAGTTTGTGTATAGCCTTTTGCAACCAATCAAGCTTTGTACCTCACAATAGAGCCATCAACATGATAT